TCTTGAATTTCACCCTGGGAACTTATGAAGCCAGGAGAACAATAAAACTCTGAAGATGAAGTGCTCGATATTTGTTTCAATACTGGTGACGGATGTTCCTCATACCATAAAGGGACATGTGTGTATAAGCATTTCATGTATAATTTTCGCCCAGGTGTGAGAATAACCCGAGATTTATATTTTTCATAAAGCTCCAGGAACACCACTGTCAAGTTTTTCTTGATAATCCTTTTGTGTTTCTGCCTTGGGTCAGAACATCTTTCGTTACGCAAAAATAATTCAATGTTTTTACGCAGATGTTTTTCACAAAAAAACTCAGCAACAGGGTTGATGAATTGTAACTGGAGAGATTTCTCTACATTGAGATCATTAATTGTTAATAACTGTTCTGCTGTGCACTCAAACTCTTCACACTTTTAATAGCATTGGGGAATTCCGTTTGAGCCTGTAATTTTGTGAGCAAAATCAAATCAATTTATTACGTAATAAATGGTATCATAACCAGTTCAAAACCAGTTCAAAGTTGATTTTAAGGTTAAAATTATATTTTTCAGAATTTTTGAACGAACCTTCCACCATGATTGATGTGTAATCGAAGCAAAGAATTCAATCTTTCTACAATTTTCGTTCTACACAAATTTATTATCATTTCGCTAACTAAAAAAATTTGTGTAATCGATGATTTATTTTGAAACTGTCAGTCTCGGCGAAAAACACTGAACGTTTAAGCAGGTGCTTCGGAAGAGCCGTGTGCAGCCACATTCAGTTCAATGAGAGGGTACACTAGGGATCTACATGATCAGAGGGTTTTGTGTGGCGAAAAATATGAATGACCGGAAAGGAAGACTATTTCTTTCTCTTGGAAAGAAATCACGTAAGTTTATTGATTTAAAAAGAGAAAATAATTTTTAAAAAATCATAACTCCCGTAATTATTCGACGGACCCGGTTTTCAGGCCGTCTTGAAAGACCACGCACCACGGACCCGGTCTGCCGGACCTGGTCCGTGACCCTCCACACACAGGCGAACTTGGTCTGGTCCGCGTACCCCGTACGTCCGTGTATGGTGGCTTTTAATGGGTCACACCCACTCCAGCCCACATGCAATGGAAGCGAACGACCAACAGCCGAATCCAATTCCAGCCCACCCGCAATGGGAGCGAGCGACCGACAACCCAGTCCACATACACGGACGTACGGGGTACGCGGACCAGCCGAAATTGAGCCTCCAAGAGACCAAGTTCGCCTGTGTGTGGACGGACCAGGTCCGGCAGATCGGCTCCGTGGTGCGTGGTCTTTCAAGACGGCTTGAAAACCGGGTCCGTCGCGTACCAAAATTACCCTCAAGTTCGTCCGTGTATGGTAACAACGGACCCGGTACACGGACCAAGAGCATTTGCGCATGCGCTATCCCCAAAGAAAAATGAATAGAATCTGTTTTCCTTTAATAATATTCCTATTTTAATAATAAAGTAATATTAAATAATTCGTCAAATACATTTATCATTCCCCTTGACCCAAATTATGAATTTATTGATTAGAAATTGAACATTTTGCACGCGACAAAGAGTAATTCCTAATTTCTGTGGAATAGATCTTCGATTGGATTCTTGTAGAGAATTCATCCAGAATAAGCGAATTATTTGTTTCTCCTGAATGGAATATTTCCATTGAAATACATATATGAAATTATCCATTTACAGTGAGAATATTGTTGAAATGCATACTAAATATTAAAATGAAGATTTTTATTTCATTTTTCATCATTTTTCAAGTAAAAACAAAAACATTTGATGATCGGAATACTCTTAATCGAAGAGATTCATCGCGGCATTGTTTAAAATCATATGAAGGCTTCAATATCGCAGACATTCTGATCGTTCCGTGTATGGGGGTGTACAGACCACAGACCGTTTCCGCACGGACCGGGTCTGCATACGCCGTGCGCCTGTGTATGGTGGCCTTTAAAAAAAAATATCGAAATATGGGCAAATCTAAGCTCCATAAATTCTTGTCGTTTGGTGAATTCCGAGGCTCAAAATTGGTCACCACCAAATCCTTAGCACCACGAAAGTGTTATGGACCAAGTTGAAGGTGGTGTGAGAAGGATAAATATTTTTAATGAATGATTAAAAATATGAGGTGGTTGACAGGTTTGGTCGCCGCCATGATACTTGGATCCCCCTCCCTGGACCGCAAGGTACTTCCAAGATAGCGGTGCTCACAGCTGTCAGCCACTTCATACTTTTAAACATTAAGGCCCGGTCGGATGGATTTTTGTCCGACATGTCCCTAGAAAATTCCCCAGAAAATTGTCCAAAAAAAGCATTTTTCGACGCCACTAATTACGACCGTATGGTTACACTAAAAAATTTGATTTTTGCTTGAAAAAACAATTTATTGCCCCTTAACGGAAATTGTGTCTTGAAGGGGGGAAATACGTTTTTATATTTTTAATATTGACTAGAAAATAACACAAAATAAACACCACCATCTCCTCTAGTCACATTACACTCGCGTGATACCCTGTCACTATGGCGACGGTAAATATCCAAAATTATAAACACTTATTCCAATTTTCACACACACTAGACTCTCGAGAACCAATTATCGTTAAAAGAACTATTTTTGACTATTTTTCGCGAGTTGTTCCGAAGGGATTAGACGCCGCTAATTCCCACAATCCGTGACATCAGTTATAGTGAATGTGCCAGATGGCGCCACTGAAAACCCCGAATCTCGGCGTACGGAAATGAGAATTGTCGAGCGGATAGCTCAGGAGTGTAACACAATGAGGGCCCACGGGTACCAAGCATTCGTGCATCTCACTCCCACTCGTGGAAATAGTACAATACTCCGTATTCCACCACCCTACAACCGCGACAATAATAATAATAATAATAATAATGATAATAATTGTGAAAAACAAAAAAAAACAAATGAAAATCACTGTATTTGCGCTAAATTTCGGGAAAAGCTCCAATATAGAAAATTTTTGAGAAAATTCGCCGATTCTCTAATCAAAAATCCGATTTTCAAAACAATAAACAATCTAACTCTCAATTCGCAAAAAAAGTTTAAGAGTTGAATTTTTGATTCTCAATTATCTCTCAATCTACTCTCGACTTTTTTTTAGAGTTGAAAATTGGATTATTGATTCTGAATAATGTCGCAATTTAATCTCAACTTTTTCTGAGAGTTGAGAACTGGATTTTTTTTGACAATGGGATTTTTTATTCTCAATTATCTCTCAATTTATTTTCAGATTTGCATTTTGAAAATTGAATTTTCGATCATCAATTGCCTTTCAGTATTATATTTCAGTAGTTTTAATCAACTTTTCCACAGAGTTGAGAATTCGTTTTTTTTCTCTCTATATAAAATGAAAAAATAGTTTCGTAGGACGCTAAAAATTTTCAGTGCTGAGCGGTTTCAGTGCTCAGAAGGGTCAGAAAGGTCAAAGGCCATATAAATTAAGACCTGAAAATTTTCAAGCTTCACAAGGGTCACGAAGTTCTGAAGGGTCTAGAGGGTCTGAAGGGTCTTCAGGGTTCACGAGGGTCCAAGGGTCTCAAAGGTCATGAGGGCCCTAAGGGTCATAAGGGTCATAGGCGTGCTACGGGTCATAAGGGTCATAGAGGGGCTAAGAATCATGAGGGTCATAGATGTGCTAAGGATCACAAGGATCATAGAGGTGCTAAGGGACATAATGGTCACGAGGGTCATAGGGATGTTAAGGGTCATAAAGCTTAATAGAAAGGCTAAGGGTCATAAGGGTCATAGGGGCCCTAAGGGTCATAGGGGTGCTAAGGGTCATAAGGGTCACTGAGGGGCTAAGAGTTATGAGGGCCACAAGGGTCATAGATGTACTGAGGGTCTTAAGGGTCACGAAAGTCATAGAGGTGAAAAGGGTCATAGGGGTGTTAAGGGTCAAAAGGGTCATAGAGAAGCTAAGGGACATAAGGATCACGACGGTCAGAGAGGTGATAGGGTAATAGGGGTGTTAAGGATGATAAGGGTCATAGGGGTGTTAAGGGTCATAAGGGTCATAGAGGGGCTAAGAGTCATAAGGGTCACGAGGGTCTCAAAGGTCACGAGGGTCATAAGGTTTCTAAATGTCAGAGGTGCTAAGGATCACGAGGGTCATAGGAGAGCTGAGGGTCACGAGGGTCATATGAGCGCTGAGGGTCAAGAGGGTCATAAGAGCGCTGAGGGTCACGAAGGTCATAGGAGCGCTGAGGGTCACGAGGGTGATAGGAGTACTAAGGGTCACGAGGGTCATGGGGGTTCTAAGGGGGCTGCCCATATATAGAGGGGTGTCCATATATGGGGGTGCCCATATATAGGGCCTATATATGTATATGGGGGTGCCCATATATTGGGGGGTGCCCATATATGAGGGGTGTCCATACATGGGGGGGTGATTATATATATGGGGTGGTGCCCATATATGGGGGTGCTCATATATGGAGGGGTGCCCATATACGGGGGGTACCTATATATATGGGGGGTGCCCATATATGGAGGGTGCCTATATATGGGGATGCCCATTTATGGGGGGGTGCCCATATATGGGGGGAATTATACGTATCTGGCCTCTTATGGTAAAGTATGGATAGAGTTATCGGAAAAACCCTCCCGGTCACACCCACTCGGTCATACCGGGAGGGGGGAGCAAGCGAAGCGAGCAAGGGGGTGCGAAGCCCCCCCCCCTGTAGAGACTGTGGTGCGATGGGAAAGGCTTGAATCAATCCACTATTAACAATTGATATAAAATTGTTATTTATTACTAAACGCGTCTTAGGGATATTTACAAGGTATGGGAGAAGATGGTGACTCCCGGGTATTCGTCGATCAGTGCCGGACTGAATATAATAAATATTCGCAAAAGGCAAGAATTCGGATACACGTTACAATAGGTGCGAGAGAGAAGTATACATTTTATTGGCGCCTGACAGAGCGCAATGATGTTACTGATGTCCAGTCGTCTCAACTACGCACCTTGTCGTGTCCGTGTACTAATGCGTAAATATGGATGTAGCGAGGCACTACATGACTCCCCGCTTGAGTAAAAACGAAGTTTTTAGAACTGTAACAGAAAAATTATTATTCTAGGGACAGATAAAATTATCAGTTGAGTAAGCAGCTGAAACTCAGAGAAAAAAAACTTTTCCAAACAAAAAGAAATTATTTTGCAAATTTAGAAAAAAAATTTAGAATGTCGGGGAAATGTGCGAATGTTACACGTTCCCTCTTTCCTCCCAGTGTTGCTGTGACTGCTTGGGATGATCGTGAGCACTTGGAGTGGTGTGGGTTTGTTCGTCTTTGCCGTGTGATGCGAAGGCGCGTGTGTGTATGCAGGTGTGGGTATGTGATGCCTCTCGGTGGGTGTATCAGAGAAGTGATGCCCTGGTGAAGACGTCTGTCGGCGGCCCCGTGCGATGTGACGACGCGGATTCCAGAGCGTGAAGTTCTCGTTGATGATTTGGCGGAGGTGGGCTGGGTGAGTCGGCTCGATGTTCTCGACGCTGCCATCGGACAAGTTCGACATGCGGTTACTTTCTTCTCTCCCTCATGCGTGAATATCGCTGCGAACCCAGCGGGTGAGGTTTCCATCCTCGTTAGCCCGAGTGGTCGAGATGCGATGTAGCTGCGATGGGACTGCGGGTGAGGTTGTCATCCTCGTTGGCCCGCGCCGCACGTGCGGTGTCCATTTTTGGCTGTTATGTTAATCTGCCTCGTACCAACAGAGTACTCAATAATCGTGAAGGTAGAGGTGGTGTTGCCTGCATCGTAGTGTGGGTAATGTACTCCCTTGCTCGCCGTATCCCGTTGTCACTGTAGTCGTGCTAGCGCGGTTGTTGTCATTTCACAGCTTATTCGAAATAAAATAAAATTGAAGAATATGAAACACGGGACAGAAGCGTTATAAGTCCTTGTTATGACCAGCACACTACAACGTCTTTGGTACTCGGCAATGTGCCGGTGTGAAAAACAAAAACAGCACATTCAAAGGCATTTGTTTTGGTTTTCGCGAGGACACTGCGAAACCAAGGCTCGGCGCTCGGATGCTTGGAATGTTCCAGAAATCACGAGACGCCCATTTGTATAATGCCGTTGAGTACCCACGCGACGAAATTTTACGGTTTTCTATCGCGGGGGATTAATTTAACACTCGAACTCGCGGATTGTGCGGCATTGGAAAGTCTAGGATGCGTGGATGTTCACCAGGATAGGAGTAACTCACTGGAATGCACGAATAAACGTTCGATGGTGAATGCACGCGGTTGCGAGAAGTTTTCACTTGTCGATTATAAAAAACGCGGCGTTCCCGTTTGAATTCTGTCGGAAATTTGTCTCTCACACAAATTCTGACCGGTACCACGCGCTGGCCACGGACACCGAGCAAGAGATGATCGACAACTGAACGACAACCATCAGGCTATCTCTCTCGCTCCAATGCTGCCACGCGTATATTTCGGATTTATTCCATTTACGAATTTCTACCTGCGAATTGAAGCGAGCGACAACTGTCTCAACTCGCCAGTCATACACTGACCTCCTAGTGGATCACAATATATCTCTTACATTCCTTTACTTTTGTATATATATTTAAACGTCTTATTAAACTGTGATTTGTCTAACTGAATCACGTGTGTTAGTGAATCGTTACTTCCTACAACAACCTCGATTCCTACACCCCCGGGGTGGGTGAGCGGAGCGAGCGAATAAAAAAATAGGAGGGAAAATTTAGGGGACCCAAAAATTCAGGCGACGGTTAATATAAGGGTCAGGAATGAGGGTCAGGGACAAGGGTCAGGTAAAAGGGTCAGGGACAAGGGTCAGGTAGAAGGGTCAGGGGCAAGAATCAGACATAAGGGTCAGAAACAAGGGTCAGACATGAGGGTCAAGAACAAGGGTCAGGAACAAGGGTTATGTGTATATACGGGTCATCAATGTCATGGGGATGTAAGGTTCATAAGGGTTGTAAGGATATTAAGGGTCCCTCGAGATATTAAGAGTCAAAATAAGAGTCACGCTAAGGGTCATAAGGGTTATAAAGGTCCAAATAATGGTCACAATAAAAAAAAGTAGTGTTGCCTAACGCTAAAAAATGTTCAAGGTTCATGAGGGTCACGAGGGTCGCAAGGGTCATGGGGTTGCTAAGGTTCATAAGAATTATAGAGTTGCTAGGGGGCATAAGGGTCATGGGGATGCTAAGGGTTATAGGGTTGCTAAGAATCATAAGGGTTATGGGGATATAAGGGTCATAAATGTCATGAGGATGTAAGGTTCATAAGGGTTATGGGGATATTAAGGGTCAAATCAAGGGTCACGCTAAGGGTCATAAGGGTTATAAAGGTCAAAACGAGGGTGGCAAGGGTCATGGGATTGCTAAGGGTCATAAGGGTCATGGGGTTGCTAAGGGTCATAAGGGTTATAGAGTTGCTGAGGATCATAAGGCTTAGGTGGATATAAGAGTCATAAATGTCATGGGGATGTAAGGTTCATAAGGGTTATGGGGAGATCAAGGGTCCCTTGACATATTAAGGGTCAAAATAATGGTCACAATAAAAAAAGTAGTGTTGCCTAACGCTAAAAAATTTTCAAGGTTCATAAGGGTCACAAGGGTCAAGGGGTTGCTAAGGGTCATAAGGGTTATAAGGTTGCTAAGGATCATAAGGGTTATGGGTATGTAAGATTCATAAGGGTTATGGAGATATTAAGGGTCCCTTGGGATATTAAGGTTCAAAACAAGGGTCACGCTAAGGGTCATAAGGGTTATAAGGGTCAAAATAATGGTTACAATGAAAAAAGTAGTTATAAAAGGGTTATGGGTACGTAAGATTCATAAGGGTTATGGGGATATTAAGGGCCCCTTGGGATATTAAGGTTCAAAACAAGGGTCACGCTAATCATAAGGGTTATAAGGGTCAAAATAATGCTCACAATAAATAAAAGTAGTTGCCTAACGCTAAAAAATTTTTAGGGTTCATAAGGGTCACGAGGGTCGCGAGGGTCATGGGGTTGCTGAGCGTCATAAGGGTTATAGGGTTGCTAAGGATCATAAGGGTTATGGGGATTTAAGGGTCATAAATGTCATGGGGATGTAAGGTTCATAAGGGTTATGGGGATATTAAGGGTCCCTTGGGATATTAAGGGTCAAAACAAGGCTCACGTTAAGGGTCATAAGGGTCATAGGTTTGCTAAGGGTCATAAGGGTTATAGAGTTGCTGAGGGTCATAAGGGTTATGTGGATATAAGGGTCATAAATCTCATGGGGATGTAAGGTTCATAAGGGTCATGGAGATATTAAGAGTCCCTTGGGATATTAAGGGTTAAAATAATGGTCACACTAAAAAAAAGTAGTGTTGCCTAACGCTAAAAAATTTTCAAGGTTCATAAGGGTCACAACAGTCAAGGGGTTGCTAAGGGTCATAAGGGTCATGGGGATGCTAATGGTCATAAGGGTTATAGGGTTGCTAAGGGTCATAAGGGTTATGGGTACGTAAGATTCATAAGGGTTATGGGGATATTAAGGGCCCCTTGGGATATTAAGGTTCAAAACAAGGGTCACGCTCATCATAAGGGTTATAAGGGTCAAAATAATGGTCACAATAAATAAAAGTAGTTGCCTAACGCTAAAAAATTTTTAGGGTTCATAAGGGTCACGAGGGTCGCAAGGGTCATGAGGTTACTAAGGGTCATAAGGGTTATAGGGTTGCTAAGGGTCATAAGGGTTATGTGGATATAATCATAAATGTCATGGGGATGTAAGGTTCATCAAGGGTCCCTTGGGATATTAAGGGTCACGCTAAGGGTCATAAAGGTTATAAGGGTCGAAATAGTGGTCACAAATAGTAACCCTTAGGGTCATAGGGTTCAAAATAAAAAAGTAGTGTTGCCTAACGCTAAAAAATTTTCAGGGTTCATAAAGGTCACGAGCGTCATGGGGTTGCTAAGGGTCATAAGGGTCATGGGGTTGCTAAGGGCTGTAAGAGTCACAAGGGTCAAAAAGGTCATGGGGTTGCTAAGGGTCATAAGGGTTATGGGGTTGCTAAGGGTCATCGGGGTTATAGGGTTGCTGAGGGTCATAAGGGTTATGGGGATATAAGGGTCATAAATGTCATGGGGATGTAAGGGTCATAAATGTCATGGGGATGTAAGAGTCATAAGGGTTATGTCTAATATAAATGGAGTTTTAGAATATATATGAATGGATGGAAATTATCAAGTGGTTGTGCCTTACTGGACAGGCGTTGGATGGAGCCTGATCCCATTCCCTTTAGGAAAGGAGAAATACATGCAGAAACAGATATTTTGAGTGGTTTGAGTGGATTATTCTATTTGATGACCAATGAATGTATTTCACAATAGAATTTTAACAATGAAAGTATTGAATAAACCCCACGGTCATACCCGCATACCCACAGGTGGGGGGGTGTAGGGTTCGCGGTGGTGGATGTTCGGGAAGGTATCGAATCACTACGCGAGGCAATGTTGCTAAACTGATTAGTTTATTGTCGGTATGAATGTATGTACATGAGTGAGTCGTAATGAATATATATATATATATATATATATATACAGATAAGGTGCAGATGTCCACCGATCGGTGAGAGCCGGACGACTGAATTCGGGAGTATTGCGACACCTGAGGTATGGGTGTGGTCCTCAGGTGTAAGTGTGTGTGAGGTGAATTAGCTCATCACGTGGTAGATGTAGCGAGACGCTATAGGGGGGGGGGGAAGCGAGCGAAGCGAGCAGGGGGCGAAGCCCCCTAGTTTTAAATAAGATTCAGATAGAGCTGCGAATGCATTACATGACCCGTCATTGACGGTCATATGACGAGATGTTTTCCACGACTGTCACAATTCCCCCCCCCCTTCTACGACCGTCACAATTGGCGAAGAAAAAATGACAGTCATTTTTGATCTATACAGATGCGAGCTCATTGTTTTATTATCAATTTTTCTTTGAATTCATTTTGCATTAGCCTAATGTGCATTTTGAAATCAAAATTACGACGATTTTCCATCTATCTAGAGATGAAGCTATTTTATTTATGACAGTCACAAATTAGAAATG